AAATACGTATCGTCTGCAAGAACTGACCTGATCACCCCTTCCTCTCCTTACACCCACGACGGGTGAGCTTCAGAGAGGAGGCACGGGTAAGGCGAGAGGAGGAAGGGAAGAGGAGAGGGGAGACATAAGTAGTATCCTGACGCTGTCGTTGCAAAATTCAGTCTGGAGGTTGATCAGAGAGAGAGAGAGAGAGAGAGAGAGAGAGAGAGAGAGAGAGAGACTCACAAGGCAGTGGCTGTCATCACCAACTTGAACAAACGCTACTGAATATTGATCAGTTTAATATGAGGATTGAGGTAGGCCCCAGCAGACAAGACTTTCACCTCTGTCACTGTTGTCTCCTGGCCATCCAGCTGCAAACGTGGACTCCACTTCACAGTTGGGGAAGTGAAGGTATCGAGCACAGTGCCCAGTTTATGTCTTGTATTATGCCTATGAGAGACACTTTACTGTGCGATTTCTCTCATTTATTTACACACAAAAACTACCACGCACAGAGGTGTGTGGGTGTGTGTGTGTGTGTGTGTGTGTTTTACAAGATCGGTGTGGAAAAACGAGAACAAATCTCAGGAAAGCACCCCTACACATTTCAGCCTCTGACACGACTTCCACGAAACTGCAACACTGAAAGGGCGTGGGGGCGGCTAATATGGGTGAAAGCAAGGGGGCACAGGTGAAAAGGTGGGCGGCCAGTCATAGGGTGGTATATGGGGTGTATGTCATGGGTGAAAGGTGTATAATAAATATGGGTATGAAGTATAAATATGTATAAGGAAGGGGGCAGATCGTAGATAAGGTAAGTGTACAGTCATGGGTGAGTAAGGCTAGTTTATGGAAGGGGGTGTAATGGTCGGGTGGTAGATAGTTTAATGTAAGGTGGCAGAGTAATATACAAATTTACAACCACAAGACGAAATATAAAAAGTTATATACAACATCCCTGCATACATATTACACATAAGTAAGTTGTAGCACTCTTTACGGAGTGTGTGAGATAAACAATAAACCATTAGCATAGACTATATGACTGTGATAGATATACATTAATCACTGATATGTCTCAGCACTTTTGCATATAGTAATGAGGAACCTGACCAATGTCTCAGAACCTGCCACTCTCACCACCACTGGAACTCTGCCACCACCACCACTGGAACCTGCCAACACCACCACTGGAGCCTGCTACTCACCACACCACTGAACCTGCCACCACCACCACTGAACCTGCCAACACCACCACTGGAACCTGCCAACACCACCACTGGAACCTGCCAACACCACCACTGAACCTGCCAACACCTTACTCATTGAGCCTGCCAACATCAACACTGAGCCTGCCAACACCACCACTGGAGCCTGCCAACACCACCACTGGAGCCTGCCAACACCACCACTGGAGCCTGCCAACACCACCACTGGAGCCTGCCAACACCACCACTGAGCCTGCCACCACCACCACTGAGCCTGCCACCACCCACTGAGCCTGCCAACACTACCACTGGAGCCTGCCAACACAACCACTGAGCTCAAGCACACTCACTCACTGGAGCTCTGCCAACACTACTCACTGAGCCTGCCAACACTCACTCACTGGAGCCTCCAACACCACCACTGAGCTCTGCCAACACTACTCATTGGAGCCAGCAATACTCTACCAATGGAGCTCGCTGCACCACCACTGGAGCCTAAATACCTCACCACTGGAGCCTGCCAACACCACTCACTGAGCCTCCCACCACTCTCACTGGAGCCTGCCAACACCACCACTGGAGCCTGCCAACACCACCACTGAGCCTGCCAACACCACCACTGAGCTTGCCAACACCACCACTGAGCCTGCCAACACCCCACTGAGCCTGCTAACACCACCACTGGCTTCCTGCCAACACCACCACTGAGCTCACCACTACTGGAGCTTCAAGCACACTCACCACTGGAGCTCAAGCAACACTACTCACTGAGCTCAAGCAACACACTCACTGAAGCTTCTGCCAACACTCACCACTGAGCCTGCTAACACTCACTTAGCCTGGAGCCTGCTAACACCACCACTGAGCCTCCCAACACCACCACTGAGCCTGCTCAATACCCCCACTGGAGCCTGCCAACACCACTCACTGGAGCCTGCCAACACCACCACTGAAGCCTGCTACCACTCACCACACTGGAGCCTGCCAACACCACCACTGAGCCTCCTCCCAACACCACCACTGAGCCTGCCAATCATCCCCCCACTGAGCCTGCCAACACCACCTCACTGAGCCTGCTAATACCCCCACTGAGCCTGCCAACACCCCCCACTGGAGCCAAGCAACACTACTCACTGAGCTCAACACACTCACTGGAGCCTGCCAACACCACCAGCTGGGAGAGCCTCCTCACACCACCACTGAGCCTGCCATCACTCCCCACTGGAGCCTGCTAACACCACTCACTGGAGCCTGCCAACACCACCACTGAAGCCTGCCAACACCACCATCAGGCTCTGCCAACACCACCACTGGAGCTCTGCACACCACCACTGGAGCCTGCCAACACCACTACTGGTCACACCACCACTGGAGCCTGCCAACACCACCACTGGAGCCTGCCAACACCACCACTCGGAGCCTGCCACACCACCACTGAGCCTGCCAACACCACCACTGAGCCTGCCACCACTACTGGAGCCTGCCAACACCACCACTGAAGCCTGCCAACACTACCATTGAAGTTTTCACACTACCATTGAGCTCTGCTAACACTACTTTACTGAGCTCAAGCACACTACTACTGGAGCTCTGCTAACACTACTACTGAAGCTCAAGCAATACTACTCTCACTGAGCTCTGCCAACACTACTTCACTGAAATCCTGCCAACACTACCACTGGAGCTCTGCTAACACTACCATTGAGCCTGCTAACACTACCACTGGAGCTCTGCCAATGTCTACATCCTGGTCATTATGGAAGTTCTCTTACTATTTCCTCTAACACAGGAAATCAGATGTAGCTGCATTGTGTCTTAGTTCTGTGTCTGCCTGTGTCTGCCTGTGCTGCCTATGTCTGTCAGTGTCTGCCTGTCAGTGCATATTTCTCTATTTTTCTTTCCTCTATATATATATATATATATATATATATATATATATATATATATATATATATATATATATATATATATATATATATATATATATACTTTCTGCTGATGTCTGTCTGTTTCTCTGTGCTCTGTGTGATTAAGGTATTCCTGACTTCCATTAATCTATATTACACTCAAGCAATTTGCCCAAGAGGCACTGCCTGAGGAGGAGAAGAATGAGAAGTTTACAATTTCTCCGCCGGCTGGGAGATAATTACTTCTGGACTTGGTTTATAACGTGACACTCCTGAGACTCAATAAGAAAGTGTCACACTCCTGGAGACTCCAAAAAGAGTGGCACTCCTGGAGACTCAATAAGAGCACACACTGAGGCTCAATAAGAAAGTGTCACACTCCTGGAGACTCAAGAAGAAAGTGTCACACTTCTGGAGGCTCAAGAGAGAAAGTGGCCACCTTGGAGACTCAAGAAGAAAGTGGTACCTGGAGATCAAAGAAAGTGTCACCCTGGAGACTCATAAAGAGTGTCACACTCCTGGAGCTGGCACAGGCAGGTCACACTCCTGGAGACTCAAGAAGAAATCACACCCTGGAGACTCAAGAAGAAAGTGTCACACCCTGGAGACCTGGGAAGGAAGTCCACCTCCTGAGGCCATGAGTGTCACACTTCTGGAGACTCACAGAGTGTCACACTCCTGGAGACTCAAGAAGAAAGTGTCACACTCCTGGAGGCTCAAGAAGAAGTGTCACACTCCTGGAGGCTCAATAAGAAAGTGTCACACTCCTGGAGACTGATAAAGTGTCACACTCCTGAGACTGCAGTGTGAGACAAATGGAGGGTATGAAAAGGCTCATTACTGAGATTGCTATAGCGTTCTGTGGTGACGGCCTCAGGACTCAACACTTGGCCCTCACCAGGAGCTGTCGGCTCGATCCTCTTACTTGCGACCACTGATTGGGGGTTCTGAGTCGACTCCAGCTGCGCCCCCTCCCCAAAAACCTAACCTTTCATAACTTCTCAAACTTATGGAGGAACTACTTTATCGACCTATTCTTGGTGCTGGAGATTACTTACATCAACACAATACATTTCTAGATATCCATTACTAATTGTTAAAGTTGCACAAGATGGCCAGACAGATTGAGAGACAGATACACTATTTCCATACTTCCTATCTGATGTGGCGAGGGAGTAATGTAAATAATTTAGCTGAAGACGTAGGTACCACTGCCTTTCAGGCCTATAATGGTACCAACAATAGCGAGTGACGTCACTCTCACCTCTCAAGGTGACTCATAAGTGAGGGTGACCTGACTGTGTGTCTTGGCTCACAGCCCACTAGGACCCACAAAATCATCTCTCAACAGTGCAGTGTTTGGCACACACAAACAAGCGCTGAACTTGCTAATTATCCTTCAAATAAAAACAATGAACAACAAGGTATTTCTACTGTCAAAATGCCAATTTTCTGTAGGAAACAAATTACCGGTGAAATGTCTCCATTGTTATAAAAATGAGAACAGTTTTGGAAATATTCTTGGTGAAATTTCAGCTGTTACGGGTCGTGAGGAGGAGCCCACTGTCTTGTGGGTAGCTGGGAGTAGTGGCTGGAGTGTGGCAGGAGTGGAGGGCAGTTTTGAAGGGTGAGGGGAGAGGGCTGAGAGGAGTAGCAAGATAAGAGGAAGAGACGGAGAATAGGAGAAAGATGAGTGAAAGGGGGAAATAGGGGCAAAGGATTGAGAAGTAGAGGGCAGAGAAGAGGGAAGTGGAGAAGCTGCTATGGAAGGGGGATCAAGGGAAGGGGAGAGGGAGGAGGGGGCTTTAAAGTAATGAACCTGGGGATTACGGAAGTAAGAGGGGGGAGGAGGGTGAGAGTAGAGTAACACTAACAAGAACAACTACTAAACATGTCCACATTGATGTAACACAGCCACAATCAACAAACTCACACAACAGCAGCAGCAAGAGATGCACCTAACCCAATTAGCTTAACAAATTGGATTTACTGTCCTGTAGGGGGAGACGGGCCAGTGGGGGAGGAGGGCTTCCACTTTGAGCATGTTAATAGTGCTGTCGGGAGAGGTGGAGGAGAGGGATAGGGAGGGAGGAGGGAGAGGGGGACGAAGGTGGGGAGGAGGGGAGTAGTACAGAGGGAGGAGGAGAGAGATGAGGTAGGGAGATGTAGCGAGGGTGGATAGGAGAAGGGGAGGATAGGTGAGGGAGGGGTGAGAGAATGAGGTACTATGGTGACGGGCAAGTGGCAAAACTACCACCATCACCTCTTACCACCACTGCCCTACCACCCACCACCTCTACCACCATCACTCCCTACCACCATCACCCTACCACCACTCACCATTACCATCACCTCAACACCTCGACCACTTACTCTACTACAGCCCTGTCACCAGCCCTGACTATCCACCACAGCCTGGTCAAAGCCTCTACTATCCACCACAGCCCGTCACCAGCCTCTACTATTGTCCACCACAGCCCGTCACCAGCTGTCACCACAGCCCGTCACCAGCCTCTACTGTCACCCAACCCGTCACCAGCCTCTACTTCCACCACAGCCCGTCACCAGCCCCTACCTTCCACCTGGCCCGTCATGCCTACCTCTACTCAGCTGGTCACCTCTTGTCTCACAGCTGTCCCCAGCCCCTCCACCAGCCGTCAGAGCTCTACTATCTCCTGCCTCACCAGCCCTACCATCCACCTCACACCGTCATGTTTCTCCCATCACCACAGCCCGTCACCAGCCTCTACTTATCTACTCACAGCCGTCACCAGCTCCTCTACTATCCACCACAGCCCGTCACCAGCCTCTACCATCCACCACAGCCCGTCACCAGTTCTACTATCCACCACAGCCTGTCAAAAGCCCCCTCTATCCACCTCACAGCCCGTCACCAGCCCCTACTGTTCACAGCCCGTCACCAGCTCTCCACTGTCCACCATGTTTCATCCTCGTTTCATTATCCACCATGCACCAGCCTCTACTGTCCACCACAGCCCGTCACCAGCCTCTACCATCCACCACAGCCCGTCACCAGCCTCTACTATCCACCACAGCTCCGTCACCAGCCTCTACTATCCACCACAGCCCGTCACGCTCCTACTGCCCCACTTACAGCCCGTCACAGCCTCTGTCTACCACAGCCGTCACCAGCCTACCATCACAGCCCGTCAGCAGCCTCACTGTCTGCCAGCCGTCTCAGCCTCTACTATCCACCGCAGCCCGTCACCAGCCTCTACCATCCACTACAGCCCGTCTTCAGCCTCTACTGTCCACCACAGCCGTCACCAGCCCTGCTCATCCACACAGCCCGTCACCAGCTCCTACCATCCATCCAGCCTGTCACCAGCCTCCACTGTCTACCACAGCCCGTCACCAGCCTCACCATCCACCACAGCCGTCATCAGCCCTGTCTACCACAGCCCGTCACCAGCCTCTACCATCCCACCACAGCCCGTCACCAGCCTCTACTTCATCCACCACAGCCCGTCACCAGCCTCCCTACCATCCACCACTGTCCGTCAACAGGCCCACTATCCACCACAGCCCGTCACCAGCCTCTGCTATCCACTACAGCCAGTTACCAGCCTCTACTATCCACCACAGCCAGTTACCAGCCTCTACTATCCACCACAAGCCCGTCACCAGCCTCTACCATCCACCACAGCCCGTCACAGCTTCCCATTTATCCACCACAGCCCGTCACCCCCACTATCCACCACAGCCTCACCAGCCCTCACCATCCACCCACAACCCGTCCTCAGCCCTACTGTCTACCAAAGCCCGTCACCAGCCCCTACTATCCACCACAGCCTGTCACCAGCCCCCACCATCTGCCACAGCCCGTCGCCCAGCCTCTACTGTCCACCACAGCCCGTCAACAGCCTCTACTGTCCACCACAGCCCGTCACCAGCCCCACTGTCCACCACAGCCCGTCATCAGCCCCTACTGTCCACCACAGCCCGCTCACCAGCCCCACTGTCTACTTCACCAGCCCGTCACCAACCCCACCATCCACCACAGCCTCCGTCCACAGCCTCTACTATCCACCTCACAGCCCGTCAACAGCCTCACTGTCTACCACAGCCTGTCACCAGCCTATACTGTTCACTACAGCCTGTCACCAGCCTCTACTGTCTACTCAGCCAATCACCAGCCCATGTTATCCACCACAGCCTCTCTCTCTCTCTCTCTTTTTTTTTTTTATTTCACCTGGTCTCTTGATGAACACAAGCAGACAGCAAATTGTATCAACGCTGGTAGTGAAGACTCAATTCCACCTGAGGCAATACTACCACACACTACCATACTCCGCCACCATACTCCACCACCATACTCCACCATGACACACCACCATACCCACCACCACACACTCACCATACTCCACCACCACACGCTACCATACTCCACCATGACACACTACCAAACCCCACCACCACACACCACCATAGTCCACCACCACACACCACTATACTACACCACAGCACCATAATACACCACCACAGAACTACTACACATTCACACCACCACATACCATTAAACTTTACACGCCACCACACATCACACCCCACTCCCCAGATCACTGTTCCACCTCCTGTAACTCAACTTTCATGCTGGTTCAAATGGATCTGGAATTGAGTCAGAGGCGTTTTATGACTGTATAAACGTATTGGTGAATGACTCAACGATGACTGTATGACTCAAAGATGATGAATGACTCAACGAAGACTGTATGACTCGACGATGACTGTATGACTCGATTGACGACTGCATGACTCAAACGAAGACTGTATGACTCGACGATGACTCAACGATGACTGTACGACTCAACGATGACTGCATGACTCAACGATGACTGCATGACTCAATGATGACTATGACCCAATGACTGCATGACTCAACGATGACTATGACTCAACGATGACTGTATGACTCAACGATGACCATGACTCAACGATGACTGTATGACTCAGCAATGATTATGACTCAACGATGACTGACTTAACGAGACTGTATGACTTAACGATGACTTCAGTGATCAACGATGACTATGAATCAACGATGACTGCATGACTCAACATTGACTATGACTCAACGATGACTGTATGACTCAACGATGACTGTATGACTCCAACGATGACTGCATGACTCCAACGATGACTGCATGACTCAACGATGACTGCGACTAACGATGATCTGTACGCTCAGCGATGACTGTATGACTCAACGATGACTGTATGACTCCAACAATGACTATGACTCATCGATGACTGTATGACTCAACGATGACTATGACTCAACGATGACTGTATGACTCAACGATGACTAGACTCAGCGATGACTGTATGACCCAACGATACCATGACTCAATGATGACTATAGACTCAACGATGACTATGACTCAACGATGACTATGACTCAACGATGACTGACTTACGATGATTCTTACGATGTTGGGTGACTGCCGATGACTGTATAGCTAGCGATGACTATGACCAACGATGATGTATGACTCAACGGTGACAGTGACTCAACGATGACTGACTCAACGATGACTGTATGACACTCAATGATGGCTGTGTGACTCAACGATTATGACTCAACGATGACTATGATCAACGATGACTTGACTCAAATAGTGACTGTATGACTCAGCGATGACCTATGACAGAACGATGACTGCAAACTTAACGATAACTATAACGACGACTGCTCTCTCTATCTGAGAATTAGTGAAACACTGCAACACTCACCAGGTTGAGAGACTAATGTTGATGACGGTGATGAGGAAGAGGAGAGTAAATAAAAAGCAGAAGAATGAAAGAATTAAAAGAAAATAAAAAAAAAATGGAAAGAAAAAAATATTTTGAGAAAATTTCAAAATCCGGCTCTTTTTCACACATGCAAATTATGAGTGTGTGTGTGTGTGTGTGTGTGTGTGTTTCATCAGACACAACAGCCGGTTGCCAGCCAGAGTCGCCGGCAGCTTCTCACCGCACTGCCACCACCGTCCTGCCCTGCCCCTGTGATGTTCTTTCAACCGCTCTGCCGTCACAGTTAGGTCACCACCACCGTGACGTCATTCCGCCTCTCTCTCCCACACACACCAACACTGATTTAAGGTTTCGGTAATTTATTCTCTTATCATTCTTTCGTTTTCCTTTATCAATCTTTCCATTCTCACTTTTTCTTCAATTCATTCTTTCTTCCTTTCTCCCACCTCCCTCCGTTCTTTACTCTTCGTTTATCATCTCTTCTTCTCTGTGATCCTCTTTCTTTTTCTTCCCTCTTCCTGTTTTCTTTCTCCTCCGTTTTATTGGCTCGTTTTACATCATTATACATAACAATAAGGGTAATAATTGTACACACCATCTCCCTATCTCTGCATTCCTACCTCCTATCTCACTATCTTTGTATCCCTATCTCACTCTTCCCATCTCTATTTCTCTCTCTCTCGTTCACCCCGTCTCTCGATCTCTCTCGTGAGTCTAATCACCAACCTTAACAGCCCTACCACATACTTACGACGAACAAGGGTACACGCTACCACTCGTCATTAACAACAGCAGCAGCTACTCACCTGTAAGAGCAAAATAAATTAAAACTGATTATATAAACATATTACTGAGAGAGAGAGTTAAAATATTTGTGTGATTCTATATAAACCAACAAACACCATTATGAAACTTCTTTACACACACACACACACACACACACCAATAATAAACAAATCACATATAAATTTACACACACACACACACACACAAATAATAAACAAATCACATATATTTACACACACACACACACACACACACACACACACACACACACACACACACACACACACACACACACACACACACTAATAAATCACATATACACACACACACACACACACACACACACACACACACACACACACACACACACACACACACACACACACCAATAATAAACAAATCATATAAATTTACACACACACACACACACACAATATAATCAACAAATCACATAAATTCAACTAACCTAACCATTCATTAGCTCCGTCGCTGTCACGATAACGTGATATCGGCTAATGTTACGATATCGGGACAACAACAAGTGAGTAAATACCTTTGTTGGTTGTCGGCATTAAAATCATAATCTTCGCTTCGTTAATTATCGGCACAAGAACCGCGGAACCAGCGTCACCTTGTAAACCCCAGAACAACGCGAACCAATATAAACCAGCAGAACCAATATAAACCCTGGAACCAGCGTCACCCAATGTAAACCAGTAACAACCACTGTAAACCCCAGAACCAACATGAACCAATATAAACAGCAGGAACCATATAAACCTGGGAACCAGCGTCACCTAATGTAAACCAGTAACAACCAATGTGACCCAGAACCAACGAGACCAATATAAACCAGCAGGAACAATATAAACCCTGGAACCAGCGTCACTGGCCAAACCAGTAACAGCCAATGTAAACCCCAGAACCAACGCGAACCAATATAAACCAGCAGGAACCAATATAAACCCTGGAACCAGCGTCACCTAGTATAAGCCAGTAACAACCAATATAAACCCCAGAACCAACATGAACCAATATAAACCGGCAGGAACCACTATAAACCATGGAACCAGCGTCACCTAATACAGTAACCTTGTCTCCCTTGAACCAGCATGTCCTCATGCTGACCTTATAAGCACAAACCCACTGCTTCAGTCCCCAATATAACATCCACTTATATTCTGCATGTCATGCTTCCCGACCCTTGCTCAGAGCTATACTGTGTTTGTGTGTGTACCTTCCTATCAATCTTTCTCTCTCTCTCCTTCTTTCCCTCCTTCTGTTTGTAGGTAGTCCTCTCCCTCCTTCTGTTTGTCAGTAGTCCTCTCCCTCCTTCTGTTTGTCAGTCAGTCCTCTCCCCTTCTGTTGCAGTCACTTCCTTCCCTCCTTCACAGACAGAAGAACTGCAGTCTTACATCACCATCCAGGCACTTACAGTCAAAACACACATACATACCTTACTCTCCCTTCTTTACCCTCCCTGGCCTTACATACGTCTCCCCCTCTCCTTCTCACTCCTTGGCCTCCATGCATTCCTCTCCCTTCCCCTTGCCTCCCCTGGCCTTACATACGTCTCCCCTCTCCTTCTCCCTCCTTACCTCCCTGGCCCCTCCATACGTTTCCCCCCTCTCCCTTCTCCCTCCTTACCCTCCCTAGCCCTCCATACGTTTCCCCCCTCTCCCTTCTCCCTCCCTTACCCTCCCTAGCCCCTCCCTTGTTCCCCCCTCTCCCTTCTCCCTCCCTAGCCTCCCTTACATTTCCCCCCTCCCTTCTCCCTCCCTACCCCTCCCTAGCCCTCCCTTGTTCCCCCTCTCCCTTTCCTCCTTACCTCCCTAGCCTCCCACGTTTCCCCTCTCCCTTCTCCCTCCCCTTACCTCCCCTGGCCCTCCTCTCCCTCCCCTTACCTCCCTAGCCTCCCTTCTCCTCCTCCTGACCCCTCCCATACATTTCCCCCCTCTCCCTTCTCCCCCTTACCTCCCCTGGCCCTCCTTCCCCCTCCCTTCTCCCCCCCTTATTCAGACGCCACAACATGCATCCAAGCTCACACCTCCACGCCTGGCTCACACACACACCTCCCGCCTGGTTCACACACACACACCTTCCGCCTGGTTCCCCCGCCGTTCACACACACCTCCACGCCTGGTTCAACACACACACACCTCCCACGCCTGGTTTCACACACACCTCCCCGCCTGTGTTCACACACACGCCTCCCGCCTGCTCACACGCCTCCACGCCTGGCTCACACACGCCTCCACGCCTCGAGCTCACACACGCCTCCCGCCTGGCTCACACACCTCCCACGCCTGGCTCACACACCACGCCTCCCCGCCTGCTGGCTCACACGCCTCCACGCCTGGCTCCACACACGCCTCTCGCCTGGCTCACACACACACCCTCCCACGCCTGTCACGCCTCCTTCTCATTTCAGTTACGACTTGAGATGCTGTGTGGCAGACATCGACTTGCTGGTGTGTGTGTGTGTGTGTGTGTGTGTGTGTGTGTGTGTCTCCTTTTCATCCCTCTTGA